CCTGTTTACCGCGGTATGTGAGTATAGTGCCCGTAATGTGAGAGCAGTGTGTCCATACGCCACTTTGCCGCTGTTGGTTTCCATCTAGCCGCGAGCCAGAAAACATCTCGCGACGAGTTGACCGCGCCGCGAGTGACGAAGAAGCAAACATGGCGACGGTTTGTGCGATTGCTTTGGTGGCTCCGGTGTTGAGTGTCTTCAACGTCCTCGTGAAAAGATTCCCCTGCCCTTCGAAGTTATCGCAGGCACCACGAGTGGCACGAAAGATGTGGAATTATCGTCTCAACTACAAATAAGCAGGCCTGCACGAGCAACAACAACGACAGTTGTGTCGTCAGATGTTCTACAACGCCGAGATATTTTCATTTATCATTTGGAATGGCTTCAAGAGTGGGAAATGAATCTATTTCGCAGATTCTTAACTCCGAGGTGAGTGCCCTCCGTTGCAGTGCCGTTGTCGCGCAAAGTGCAGAGAAAACCCGGTGGCGATGGCGGCGGTGCTCTTTGATCGCTTTGATCTTGCGCCGTCGGGTTCATGGAGTCCGGAGTAAACGTACGTACGTGCGTCTGCTGGATTGGTGTTTTGGACTGCCACAAAACTCTTTCTCGCGGGCATTTACCTTGTGAAGCTTAGTAGCTCATTACATTTCGTCGTCGACTGCGCTCATTTGACTACGACGGACGAGCCTGCGTGATATGAATTTCACTGCATAAGATCCTTGGTGTGCTATAACGAGGGCTAATAAAATATCACCGCGAACTTCTGAACAAACGAGTCGAAGTCGTCTGTTATCATAACTGATCGCCTGTCACAATATTAATCAGTAGCGTTCCTAAACTCCGTCCCCACAGGCACCCTGCTTCGTTGCCCGATAGTAAGTGTCTCCTGGTACCTCGTAGAATTCCAGCTCCCACTTCAAGTAAGTACCATCCTTTAGAACTGGCAAGTAATAGTTTCGAACCCAGACGCTCGCAGCGTGTGTGTGTGTGTCTGTCGCTAGTCCTTCGATGAAACGTCGTGGTCTCGTTTTCATTCGCTAAAACGGCGTTCGATCAAGTGAACGCCTCCCACTTATTTCGGCTCGGGAGAGCCGCGCTGCCGCAGAAAGGCAAGCAGATCGCGAAAATCGGTCTCAAACGTGCCACGAATGTAATGTCGTATACAAGAAGCCGACAATCAAGCATTTGAAAGCTACAAGAAAGTGGCAGCGAAATATTTACTACGCAATGAACCCGGACTGAAACGGGGATGTCAAGGGTCAGCAGACACCGAGAACATTTAAGACAAGAAAGGTTTTCTCTTGTTTTCTCGATCGAGATGGGTTCTCGAATGTTCACGACATCTTATCTGTTGAAGAACGGGCCGCGGAGGCTTCTGGTGAAGACATCTTTCACGATATGCCGGTGCATTCGGACAGCCTGCCGCATCCAGCTCCCCAAAGCAACGCCGCCAACGCAGCCCCCCCCTCCTGCCTGCCAGTTCTCTCCGCGTGGTGGCGCGAGCGTAGATAAACATGGCGGCGCCCTGGAATTGGCGCGGACACTAGGGGTGTCACGAACTTTTGTCGAACCAGATTTTTTGGTCGAACTTTCGGGGTTCGACTGGGTCGAACCGGTTCGACGAACCTTCGACCTTTTCACCAGATTCGACCGGTTCGACCACTGATCTCAATGACAATTGCTGGATCGCGCTTGCCGCTCCCGCAAGTGAAGCCACCGCGCGTCACTCGCTTGGGATACGATTTGCCGTTTTTGCTAGCCTTTGCTGCGGTTTTCCAGCGTGCTGACGACACGTTTTCTACTCGTTCGTCGTCATTCGCCGAAGAAGTTTTTTGAAGACTCTGTGCATTGTTGAGACTTTCCGTTGTGAACACGTGGAAAATTTTACGAAAGTGCAGTGTCGCAGGAAAAAGGCACAACGCGTCGAAAGGAAGGGCTGGCGGCGTGTTCAAAGCATCCTTGGCACGCCGAAGTGCCGTGTCTCTGTGCCTTCGCGCGCTTGGATACCGACCAAGAACCGACGCCGTGTGAATGTGTTTAGCGAGTGCAATGTGCGTGAAGCCGTATCAAAAGGTACAACTCGTCGAAAACGTGTCGCCGGTGTCGCGGCGTGATCAAAGCTTCCTTGGCACGCCGAGTGATGCATCTTTGTGCCTTCGCACGCTTGGATACCGGTCAAGAATTGACGCCGCGCCAAAGTTCTGAACGTGTGTCGCGCGTAGATGCCTTTAGATCATTTATATATATCGGCCACGGAGTTCTGGATCGTCCAGCTGTTCCGGTGAGTTGCTATCAATAAAAGGGGGAGATCTGTACGTATTCTTATGTACTATATTAACCATGGCTATGTCCCAAATCTACTCTAATAGATTCCGTGGGAGCACGAATAGGGCAACGTTGTACGTGGAGCCAGGGGGGTCTTCGAAAGCAAAAGTACAAGACGGCGAGAATGAAAATCTTTGAAGCGCGGCCGATATGGTCGTGTGCAATCTGTTGACCAATTACAATTAGGCGAGTCGCGTAGGTTGATAATAAGCCAGCACTGATCAGTGATGAGGAGCTGTTGTGCACGGTATTGTGTATATCGTCTAAGGACGAAAAAAAGACGTACCTTCTCCCCATCTTCCGTCGCTAGTGGACGCTGGATTAAGCTCGTTCCTAAACCGCGAGGGGAAAAGACGCTGATCCAGAGGCACGAACAGCTTCACGCACATTGCACTCGCTGAACACATACACACGGCGTCGGTTCTTGGTCGGTATCCAAGCGTGCGAAGGCACAGAGACACGGCACTTCGGCGTGCCAAGGATGCTTTGAACACGCCGCCAGCCCTTCCTTTCGACGCGTTGTGCCTTTTTCCTGCGACACTTCACTTTCGTAAAATTTTCCACGTGTTCACAACGGAAAGTCTCAACAATACACAGAGTCTTCAAAAAACTTCTTCGGCGAATGACGACGAACGAGTAGAAAACGTGTCGTCAGCACGCTGGAAAACCGCAGCAAAGGCTAGCAAAAACGGCAAATCGTATCCCAAGCGAGTGAAGCCCGGTGGCTTCACTTGCGCTGCAGCGAACAAGCGGGGAAGCGCGATCCAGCAATTGTCATAGAGATCAGTGGGTTCGACTTTGTGGACAGTGTGGCCAGACCTTGATACAAGCATGTCTAGGTTTGGAGAATTTATTTTTTTATGCAAAGGGTTATTTTATTCTGTGAACAGCTGCAATTAAAAGAAGCTAATTCTATTCTCTGAAGAAGTTAATAACTTAAATTTTATTACTGTATTGACTGAAATAGCCGATCAGCGCTGCACTTAATTCATCTCTTAGCCATTACCATCCAATCCGAAGCCAACTGGCCAGCCTGTCGCGCATGCTCACACGAGTCGAACCTCAATACAAGGTTCGACGAACTTTCCACTAAAAGGTCGAAAAAGTCGAACCTGGTCGAACTCGAACCGCGGCCGGTTCGCGACTCAAGTGAGTACGAGCTACAAGTTTCTCCCAGAAGTATTTAAGATACAGTGACTTGGAGTAAGGGATTTAAGTTACATACAAGTCTGAAAAATATGTGCTGTAAACAACTTATTTTTCGCGGGCTCAATATTTCTGTATTTAGGTCAAACTAGTCACTAAATAAAGCTACGGGTCAAACCTGAAGTTTGGATTTTCGCGACGCAGTAGGGGACCGAATTTTTTAATGTGCCCCTATAAATTTAATATGCAATACAAAGGCCAAGAACAAATGCGAAAATATTTGAGAAATCTTTGAACACACTGCAAAAGGAAAAGGGACTAAAATTCCACTTCACTGCATTACCGCAGACAGTTCACATCACCCTGCACATGGACGTTCAGGCCGGGCGTAGCAGTACATCAGACAGTTCACATCACATCGCACTCAAAGTGAATGCTAAACGTGGAGGGGGATTTTCTACACTGATTCAAGTTCATGCCAACACAATGTCCTCATCGAAATCGGAGTCGTCTGAGCTTAAATTCAATACCCCAGTTGCATTGCTCTCGCTGTTCGATGAAAGATTAATTTCGTCTTCTGAATCTGAAGAGGTGTCACAATATCTTCGTTTTCGACCCAATTTTGACGCAAGATCGTTACTATGAACTCTGCGACCAGAAATCGACGTCGCCATTTTTAAATTCAGTTGCCTGCGTTGGAACAATTTTCTGCCAAATTCAGAAATTTACCAGGTTTTTATTTTCCATGAAGTGCCATCTGTCCACGGCAAAGCTCACTAGGAACATGTGGACTAGCCCAATTCGTCCATGGTAGCGTATCGGAGCCCGAATCCACGTGGACGAACCCAGCTCATCTTCGGGGGGAGCGGTACAAACACCGTGGACGAACTCAGGTCGTCCATGGTAGGGAAAGGGTTAAACTTCACCGCAATTGTTCGCGGGACCTATTTTTTGCGAATAGTAGGCAATGCGCGACAATTAGGTCCTCGCAAAAATGAAGTCGTTTACAGTATTTAAAGCTACTTTTGCTAATGCACATTCCTAGTGAAAAATGCTCTTGGTTAGTGGTCAACAGTTCCACGCTCCCACCAACCGTTCTTCGCTAAAAGACGTTCCGAAAGTGCAGAGTGGTGCAACAACTGCTGAAAACATTGTCTCCTCTGCAAAGAGCCTTTATAGTTCACAGCACAATCGACAGGGGGCACCGAGAGTACCGCGGGAGTGGTGTTGTCTTACTGATTGTGATAGTACATGTGGAACAATTTAGGAAATTTTTGTCCTCATCCACATTCTCTTCCACCAAGTTATTCCCACCACTTGTTAAGGCTCCCAAAACTCCTTCAAGATAATTATTTGTCTTCACCAGGAGACCCCAAGCCTCAGGAACACACCCAAAAGATGCTTAGATCTAACTGAAAACAACTCTCATCCATGCCTAGCTTCAGACAAAACTCGCACAACCCAAGAAATGTCTTTATCTGGTCCTCATCTTTTCGCGCCGTTTTTAATTCCCAAGAAAAGAGCCATTGTCCAGGTCAAACCCGGGAAGACCCCCCTCGTTTATTCTCAGCCCGAGACACCCACCAATGTTCAGCCCTCGAGTCCATGTCCAGCCCGAGACAAAGCTGTTCTTGTTCAGCACTTATGACTGTGATGGACAACTCAGCGCACATCTTCAGTCCTTGGTGATTGCAATGGGCAGCTCGATGCACATCTTCAGCCCTCGACGACCCAGATGAGTAATCTGATGCAGATCTTCAGCCCTTGATGAGCAACTCAAGGACATCTTCAGCCTTCGATCACCCCGATGGACAACTCAATGCACATCTTCAGCCCTTGATGACCGTAATGGGCAAGTAGACAAACATTTTCAGCCCTTGATGACTGCGATGGGCAACTCAATGCTTATCTTCACCCCTTAATGACTGCGATAGGCCTGAGCTTGATGCACTTGCGGCTGATGCCGGCCTCGTGGCACGTGTCCACCACGTCAGTCACATTTTTGTATGACTCTGGAGCCTCTTCCATGACCAACTTGGGAGAGGCGACCCGGATTGAAATGCCCATCTCGTTCATCTTGTCCAGCACATCCTGGTAGTTGAGGTTGCGCCTAGACTTGGCCCGTGAGAGCGCCCGCCCGGCCCCGTGGCATGTCGTGCCGAACGTCTCGTTCATGCCTTGCTCCGTGCCCGTCAGCACGTAGCTGCACGTGCCCATCGTACCGCCTATCAGCACGGGCTGGCCGGTCAGCTGGAAAAAAGACAGAATATGGTCAGGCATGACGCCAAATACCAAATTCACTCAACTTCAATCTTTCCAAGCTTTTACGTCGTTAGTTTAGCAGTGAATTCAACGTTTGGTTGAAACCAGTGTCCAATCAACGAGGACGCAAGTGCTGACGCCAGTGCTCGTATTCTACCTTTGCCTTGCATCAAACTTCGACAACACCAGAAATTCAGCACCAAAGCCACGTAGAGCATGCGAGAAAATGGAGGGCACGCAAGGATTTTCTGCGCGGCAGAAGATATTCTGTAGGTCGGCCCTTAATGTCTCCCGACAGCATGAAGTCACACGATGCAGCGCAAATATGTGTATGTATTGCTTTTGCATTCTGCATACAAGACATTTGGAAGATGGACAAGGGAATGCCTTCATATTTTAAGCTTTTCTTTTGTTTAATAACAGTTTGCTTGTGCGCTGTCGCAGCTACTGCAAATTGTTGAGGGTAGGTGTCATAACATCAAGCATTATGGCCTTTTCACTTAGGAGGTGTTGGGTCAAGATGGAACTCTGCTGTTGATCAACAAATGACACTCTGCTCTGTGGGCTTCAATCGCGGGACCGCTCTCGCTTTCGTGATGCTGTGAAGGAAATGGGCGTAAAGGCATTTGTCTCGTACATAGCAACAAAAGTGCCAACGACCGGAGTTTGTGCCTCATACGGCCTTGGGAAGCAAGCGGCAGCTTATCACTGAAACGAGCAGCCCTTGGAAATGAATGGCAGCAAAGCACTCGCTCGTGGCACACGTCTTTTCCTCGTGCGTCCTCATGACAATCGTTGCCGGTACTCGAAAGAAACACTAAGTGCGTGCTTCACCGAGATGGCTTGAAGTGGGAGGTGTCTCACCTGGTAGTCCACGGGGATGAGCGGGTGGTGTGGCGGGAAGGCCCTGGTGGAGCCCTTGCGGTGCACCAGCAAGGTGCGCATCTTCCCGTCCACCACGTGCTGCTCCACCTTGGCGATGTTATGCGACACATCGTAGATGACGTGCATGTCCAGGTCGTCCGGGGTAGTGTTGTACGCCTTGGCAAACGCCTGCGGGGCAAAAAAAAGGCTTGACAAGGCCATCGTAAAAAAAAAAGAAAGCAGACGACCCAGACTATTTATTGTTTTCGGGTTCCTACTGTGCCGCCCAGACGTCTCGCAAGTTTGCTACCCATTTAGGCAGGAGGTGGAACATTGAAAGTTTGCTGTAAGCGGACAAGTGCATTTACAGTTTGGGCCTCTGCCAAGCACTGGCCTTGTGACTGGAACTCTGCTGGAATTAAAAAGGCACTGACACATCAAAATCTTTTTTTTTTTTCTTTTTTTATTATTTGAAATGACTTAAAACGATGCTGGGACATTACCCTTAAAATTCAAAACTTGGGAATTCAATATTTGTGAAGCAAAAAAAAACAATTTCCAAATGCCGAATTTGAAGTTCCCGCATGATCCGCGCCAGTGCGGTGACGTCAAATATAGCGGAGTCCTGAGAGTCAACTTTCTTTCGCGTCTCCGAACCACCGCGACGTGAAGCGAGGAGTTGAGGAGCGAAAGAGAAGAGCACCGGTGGACCGGGGAAAAAACATTTTTTTCGTCCCATTCCCCGACTCACTGACCATCCTCTGCTATGTGCATCGAGCACCGCCAGTTTTCCAAGGGAGGATACAAATCCAGGATGATACAAATCCAAGATAACACCGAACTCTAATTTTTGGTTTTTCAAAAAAAAAAAAAGGGTCATAGTGCGTTCGCAATTGTGTTAAAAAACATGTTTTACGATTGGCGTTATTAAATGTTATAGAAATGTCTTCTACAAAGCTTCTAAATTTCACGATTTTTGACGTCACAAATCAAAAGAAGCGAGGAGGTGAGAAGCAGGAGAAAAGGGAACCAAAAATAAAAAGGCGCGCAAATATTTTTATTTTTGCGCAATGAGTTTTTTTTTTTTTTTTTGCATGTTTATGACTACAATTTGCATTGTTTTAGACAATAAATAAAAACCTTGCAAGACAAGTGAAATATCAAGCTGCGGCCAAGAGGAGAAATACACCCCAAAGCTACACCTCATCTCTCAAATCGCCACGAGTGCTCGCAATTATAGAAGTGTAAGCTCATGGATGCCTTTGCTGCACTAGTGCCTGTGTACGCAGTGCCTTTCGCAGGACCATGCTCTCAGACCTGCGACAATATGTGTGATGGAGCGTAATTTTTGCTGCGTGAATGCTCTCAAGCATATTGCCTTTCGCAGAACCATGCTCTTAGAACCCTATGCACAAGCCACATTGTCTTACATATGTACTGACCGTATTGTCCAGTCATTGCCAAGCCCCCCTGCCACCTGAACTTCATAAGAGTGTGGTGGGCCACGTCTTGGTGGATAAGCACAACTTTGAAAGTTAAAATACACCCATTTTTCTGTAAGTATATAGTGTGGCAGCACAGGAGATACATTAAACTCAAAACCAGTTTTATAGTTTATAAAAATAAATGCTCATAAAAGAATGTCTTACTACCGCAAAGTCTGTTGCCTGCATACGCGCTATGAAAACTGCATGCAGCACGAATGTCTGTTCAATGAAAGCATGTTTCTAAAACCGCTATGCTATCCTCTTTAGATAGAAAAAGAAAAAAATGATCAACTGGACAATAAAAAAATACATCTGGCGCAACAAGCAAAAGCAATGAAGCGCAATGCTAGGGAAGCCGGTGGTCACGTTGGTAAATGCTTGGGCATCGGGCAAGGTCGGGCACCTTGTCAGTCACTAAAAGCAGACTCTTCTGCAACTTTCTTATTTGGTGCATACATGCATGTTCTTGCATGGCGTGCTATCATTGTGGGTTGATGTGGCGTTGCTGCATGGCGTGGACGACACTACAAACACGGAGCTCGAAATGGGACACTTCACAAACATCTGCGTGTCATTGCAGCATTCTCTATTTACCCGTTGGCTTTGTTCCAAAACATTGCACAACCTTACCAACCACAGTTACTACACTCTAGAAGAATGATTGGATACTTGTGGGAAGCTTATTTTGGTGGAGATGGACTTTGACCTTACACTCTGTGGTTACCTTCCCAGGATAAGTAGCGTTCGCTGACCTCACGATCCCTGAATGGGTTAATGCTTGTGTTATATTTCCATTTTTTTTTGTTTGTTTGTTTGTTTTGTCTGAACAACCTTTTCTGTAAGCAAAATCAACTTTAATTTTGTTATCTCCATTGCTTTTCTTTTGCACGCATGCACTCCAACTTCAAGCTCGCGGAAATTGGGGAGAAAATGAGTAAACGCCTTCTGAACCGAGTTTTACTTTGTCGTGGACGTTCTCTAACCGCAAGGTCCGCAAAACCGCCTCACTCGGGTTGTATGAATGTTCGTGGATCGCGGACTCCGCATTGGGGTACTTGTAGGGGTGGGCGAGCACTGCATTTTTTTGGAAATAGATATTCCCCCAAAAAGTGGGGTGAGCATTGACTCGGGATATTATGGTACAGTTGAACCTCGATGTAACGAAGTCGGTAAAATTCGCAATTTACTTCGTTACATTGAAATTTCGCTAAATCGAAATTTGGCTTTAGCATGCGAAAAAAAAAAAATTCCGAAACATTTTACGGGTATGAAAACTCACCGAAAATGACATTTATTTAGGGGCAAAGTAGTCCGCGAGTTTTGCTTGCGCCTTGTCCGACAGTAGCAGCGGCGTCGGCGGCGTCATACGGCGTTCGAGCGCCCAGAGCGCTTGCACGGCACCTTGCTGCCCATGCGACGCCGTGTACCTCCTCAGTACGTCCATTGCGTTGAGCACTTCCCGAGTGCTCGTGATCTCGGCAGTTTCTTCCGGCTGGCGTCCAAAACGTTTGCTTTCTCATCCAAAGAAAGAACTTTACGTTTCCTTATGGCAGCAAGCACGTAAGTGAACCGCCCGGTTAAAAAATAAAGCTGTTTAGTTTAGGCGGTGCCAATGTTTCCAACCTACACAGCACTCTTGACCGCACAGTTTACTTGCCCCCTTGCGCCCACAGTGTGCTTGCGCCTTTGCTTTACATCATTCTCGCAAGACGATAATCGGTCTTTTCGGTGTTCTCCTAGATGGCACTGCCAGGCACTGCCCGTGCGGTCGCGCCATCACGTCGCTTCCCCGCTGAAGTTGGCTCCCGCGCTACCCGCGGTACAGTGGACTATGATGATCAGTGAATGTCATTGGTGATGCTGTTATGCCGTGTTAACTTTTTGCTCGGCATTTTCTGGCCAGCCTCGCGGAATCCGCTTTGCCGCATGCCTCGCCGGCGCTACCGGCGCCGCATCCTCGGGCAGCCTAGGAACGTTGGAAGGCCTGTCCCCGTGAAGTAACCTATCAAGCGCTCGCGTTTGCGCATAATTTTTTTTTTTAACCACAATTTTTTTGCGAAGTTGTTTTTTAGAGGTGATTTATTTATTGCCTTCTATGGCAATGGCGCTTCGTTATATTGAAATAGCAGCAAAATAGACTTCGTTATATAGGGACTAAAAATACATGGGGTCTATGGGCAAGAAATTATGAAAAATAAAATACTTCGTTAAATCGAGGATTTCGTTACATTGAAGTTCGTTATATCGAGGTTCGACTGTACATCTGTATAAATTACGGGACTTGCAACAAAATAAAAAAAATTAGGCTATATAAGAAGTCAAGTGGTTGCATGTCCATGTCGTGCTCCGTACATTGAGCACCGGAAACCCAGAAGGTCAGCACCACTGAGCATCAATAGTGAGGACATCAACCGAGCCCCTTGGCCTCACCTGGCGGCTGAGGAAGGTCATGCTGCTGCGGTTGACCCAAGCGAAGTTTGCGGCAGCCGCCATTGACTTGAGGTAGTCCTGCCCCTCTGGAGACCGGATCATGGCGCAGGCCAGCTGGCGGTCGTTCACCTCAATCTGGTCACGCTTCATCGCCTTCTCCATTGCCACCAGGGCGTCTGCAACGGGGCACGACAATGCATCAAGCCGGACACTTGCAGATACTGTAAGCAACTCTACAGAAGGATTGCCCCTAGTTGGTGGGTACAAAACTGCACGATTTGGAGTGATCTACTATGTTTTTGTTATGAATTGGCATACTGCAAACGACCATATTTGCGGCTCTATGGTTATCGAATTTCGCAAAGTGTGAGTTTTTTTAAATATTTCACTAGCACAAAATTTCACGATATGAAATGAACGGGCTTCTCGCTGTTCACGCATGCTCTCGGCTGCCAATTACTACTTGATTGGAGTCCGAAAAACAATTTTTACAACCAAACAACCTTTGCAGGTATGCATGTGAAAATTTTTTGCTTGCTTACTCACTTCAACATAGGGTGATCAGACGTCCCGTCTTGGCCGGGGGAGTCCCATTTTAGAGGTTCATTTCTCATCTTGCCATTTTGTCTGAATTTAGCCAAATGTCCCATTTTCGTGGGAACTTGCTTCCGAAATCAGTACCAAGCGAGTGGAAGAAAACGAAAAAATATTACTCCTGACGGTGTATTAGTAAAAACACTAAAACAATGTGATCTCCAAAATAATATGGTTTTTAGATTTTTCTGCGACTCCACTTGTCAACAAGTTTTGTTCGCACAAACACCTGCACAGGGCCCTTTTCTACGCAGTAAATCTCGTTAATTCATACTCTCTTAATTCAAACTTGCAGATAAATGAAACAAACATGCAGATTCCATTGTCTCTCTCTCTATGGGAAAAAAACTCCCGGTAATTCAAATTTTGCTTTAGTCAAACAAATTTTCTGTCCCCCTCGAGTTTGAATCAACGAGATTTAACTGTATTACTATATTTTCCATGTTTAGGTTTTGTAGAATGGGTAAGAAAGGAGCTTGTGTACTAACTGCTCAACGAAAAGTCTGCGTTTTCACAGTGAACTGAATAGTAGCAGAGCAAAGATGCAAGTATTATGCTCAGTTGCAAACCTGGTGCAATTGGACCTGTTAAATGGGGCACTACACCACTTGCTGTGAGTTTTTTTATGGTATGGGCTCAAGCATCCTAAAAAAACAAACATTACACTTGAGCAAGGCCGATGATCCTTGGTGTTAATGATTGATTATTGGAAGTATTGCTGAAACCAGAAGGCACTGTCGGACGAGGAGAAGCCCTTGTCCTCGTCTGATGGTGCTCTCCGGTTTCAGAGATAGTTCTGGGGTCATCAATCTTTGATACAGATTACAACAGAGAAACGTCACCACGCATTTATGCGTGGTGACGCATAAATGTAATGTTTAGTTGCTTAGGATGCTTAGAGCCCGTAGACTGAGTTATGACCATAAAAAAGACTATCAAAGAAAGTGGTCTAACACGTCTGATTATGTCAAGTTTGCAACAAACCATAATTCTTGCGTCCTTTGTTCCGAGTGTATGTGAGTGAGTGTGTTTGAGTGAAGGCCCATACACACAATTGCGTCTGTACGCGTTGCAGCGCCCTTGCGACCAGGAGCGGTCGCTTGCGGTAGAATGCACACCATTCCCGACGCTCGGTAGCGCGACGCAAGAGAGTAGACGCTCGCTCAACTTTCCGAAGCATTGCGGAGTGTTTGAAGATGCAGAAGCCGTGAGAGGAGAGGAGGGTCACATGTTCGTTCGCGCCACTTGACGAGGCGTATCTGCTTCACCACTCACAGAACTTGCTTTTTTGTTTTAGGCAGCTGTGGGGACTGCTCTTTCCAAGGCAACAAGGGTTTGAGTTTGACAGAATCTCGGAGAAGTTAGCGGGATAGTCCGAAGATCAAACACTTCCAACGCCATCGCCATTCGCCAACATGCAGCCGTGGATTTCGCTTACTATGGGTGAACTGCTAGCGACAATAGCATTTTCTTATAGGCCCTTGACTGCGGTTGACTGTGTGAACGCAACTGTGTGTACAAGCTTGGTGCACGACTCTTTGCAATGCAACGCGTCCGCTTGCCGCTGCGGAACGCACCGCGCTCAAGCGCAAATGTGCGCAGGGGCCTTGAGTGTGTATGTGCAGGCGGTATTGTGGCCGATCCCAGGCATAGGGAATCGTAACGGCTAAACTGTGTCTGCGGAAGCTTTCCCTCACCGGTGGCCACCTGGTGCCCGAAGCCCCGGCTGCCGCTGTGGATCATCACGCACACCTGTCCGCAGCGCTCGATGCCCATCTTGTAGGCGTTGTGCTTGTCGAAGATCTCCTCCACCACCTGGATCTCCGCATAGTGGTTGCCCGCGCCCAGCGTGCCCAGCTGAAACGCAGCCGAAGCATCCAGTCAGCCACTTCTCTGCGCCACCGAGCACAACGTAGGAGGCCTACAATAACGAAGCGCGAGACAAAGATCGCAAAGGTATTTCGTCTCGCCCTAAATGATGTGCCACCCGACATCAAAGCGCAAAATTCTTTTTAAATGAACTGCGGGCCCCAAAATGAATCTCTGACTGGTGTGTTTCTTGTCCCGTCCCACCCATGTATCGAAAGTGGTTCCAAAGTGACAACAAATGGCATCGCAGTAGCAGATGTGTCATGCTGTCGGATGTCGCAATCCTGGCGGTTGGTCGTAGAAATGCCGGCAAAAGGGCGAGCGGTTGCAAGGGCTGCCATCATCGCGACATCCTGTCTAGAGTCTGCTTTCGTCCCCACTGACTGTCTGTCTGCTGTGCGACTTATGGCAGAACGGGCGTCTGCAGCATTCGCCTCAATGCCATGCCACCGCCGAGATCGCAACAGTCAATGGGGTGACACTTTTACAACGTCATCAGCGAAAACGGAGGAATCGTTTCAGAGGACGCGGTAAACGCAAGTCTGAATTGCGCTCCAGGCACCACGACTGTTACAATATGTTATAGTTTCGTTTTGACTTTGGTTGCGGAGTGCTATCATCATCATCAGACAGTAAAACATGGCGGTTCAGCAAGCGTGCAGCCTCGTGAGTCTCCTATAAAAAGACACGCAAAACAATGACGAGGGGGAAAAGCCGTGCCAAGTAGGTTTCCAAAGACAAAAGAAAATTTCTAACTGGTCGGGGTTGCCGGAAGAGCGCTAGTTGCGTCCCAAGCGGCAAAATGGCAGCAGCCACATAATAGAGTTAATATATTAATCTACCCTAAAATTCCTTAAGAACGCCCACCGAAAATGAAGAGATAGATGGTGAAAAACATTGCTTGGGTTACCTTAGGGAATGCCACAGTAAAACTTATCAAATATTAATGATAAACACCGGGGCACCCGCTACAAACAACGTGACACGGGAACTGATACCGCAGATTGAAAACACGACGAATTTGTGTTTCATGATGCGATAAACATGCGGGGATTAGCTAAGAACTCCTATGTCACGGGAAAGGACACCGAGGTTGCGGACACTGCATTTTCGCATTTCACGGTGCAAAGGACTCGCAGAAATCCACCAAGAACTCTCATCTCACGGGAACGAATGCCACAGATGACGGATGCAGCAGGTTCAAGTTTCATGGTGCAATCAACGTGCGACAACCCAATACAAACTTGCCTGTCATGGGAACCAATATTGCGCGCACAGATTGCGGACAAAAAAGTTGGAAGACAACTAAGCACTTCTTAGGAGTTGTGAATGCAAAAGCATGAATGCCCAATGGATGGCCGCGGAGTGATCCGCGGAGTTTTGTGGCGCGAGTAAATGTTTTCGAGATGTGGCAGAAGCACCGGCTACAATGTGGATGCTAGAGGCGGTGCCATGTCCGTCGGCCGCGAGACGAGCAGGAGCCTCCGAGCACGTGCCAACGTGTCCGTTTTAACCGGTGCGGGGCCCGTAGTGGCATGGTGTTGCAGCGGTTAGTTTTATCAGCGCGCTGGCGGCACGGATATGCAGCGCTATCTGGCGGCAGTCGTTGAAACTGACGCACGCAGCGGCCAATGGGAGCCACGTCGCCGCGCGCCACCCAATGGGGCCTTTGGGATCAGGGAAACTATGTGCCATTTTCGCGCTTCAAACTGATGACGTCGGCTCGCTCCATGAGACCCCAATTAATGCTTTCGCATTAAAACGCGAGTCCGCTACAAACTTGCACAACACGGAAACGAATATCGCACATCGCAGACACAGCAAAATCGCATTTCACGATGAAACATATACACAAGACAACCCTGTGACAAGTATGTAGCGCCCTCCTCCAGTCCACCCGTCTGTGGCCGCCAGGCTCGGCGGGCAACATTGATCACCGCGCCTCAAAACGCCGTTGAGCGCACGCTAGGGAGGCTCAAGTGAGGGTGGGTGCAACTGCTAGATCGGCGATCACAGGACATGGACGCCATTTAATTGCTAAATTTTGCTGGGAGTCTATGGGGCAAAGGGTCGTTTTCTTTCCTAACTCGGGTCATAAAAGCCCATTAAGGTGCTTGAATAATTTACACAAGGTATAAATGATTACTTTTCCATAACCACCAGTTTTGTTGCGATAGGTTAAGTATTTTTTTAACGCGAAAAATGGTAAATTCCGCCATCTTGGACGTTGCTGCTTGTCTGGCAACTTTGCTTTCTCCGCTCGACGTTTGCAATTCTCGGAGCGAGAAGGAAGCGAGAGAGGCTGCGCCAAGGCGCTCGTTGCTTGCAATGGGAGGCGAGAGGAGGAAAGGCGCATGGAGCAACAGAGTTGCAACAGAGCGGGCGCCTGCTCTCGTGCAGGCAACACTGGCGCATATCCTTTCTCGAATCCTCTCCCTCTGGCGCCGCCATTAAATTGCAAACGCTCTCCAGGTTTTGAGTTGCGCCCACCCACACTACAGCCTCCCTAGCGCACGCCGCTCCGGCCAGTCATCGTTCACCCTCACAACCAGGCTGCGTGTCGTCTCTTCTCGGCGGGTGCTTCGGCCCCCTTCGTCCACGTTCTAGAAGGATCGTGACACTGGCGACGAGCAACCGTGGCACTGGAGGCCACCAACGTGCACGGTTCGGCCCACGCTGCCGAGGGTTGCAACACCGCCCCCCGCTCCTGTCGCCATGCCGCTCTACGGGAGGCTCGAGCCGTTCGAGGGAGATGGGTCCGCCTGGCCAGTCTACGAGGAACAGGTCCACGTGTTCTTCCGGGCGAACGACACGCCAGAGGCGAAACAACGGGACATCTTTTTGGCCAGCTGCGAGACCCGCGTCTTCAGCCTCCTGCTCGACCTCCTCAAGCCGGCCACGCCGCACATCAAAACGCTGGGTGAGCTGCTCGCCATGCTGCGCTCGCACTTCAGCCCAGCACCGTCCACGCTTATGGAGTGGTTCCGCTTCAACAACCGGAGCCGCCAGGACGGGGAGACCCTCGGGCAGTTCGTCGCTGCGCCACGAGGGTTAGCGAGCACCTGCGCCTTCGGCGACCAGTTGGACTCGCTACTCCGGGACCGGTTTGTCTGCGGCATCAACAACCCCGCCATGCAGAGGCGTACAGCCACAAGACCGCCGAGCTGAGCTTGGAGCAGGGCTGCCTGCTGTGGGGTTCCAGGGTGGTGATTCCACAAAGCCTCCGGGCCAAGGTCCTGTAGTTGCTGCATGCCTGGCATCCCGGCGTGGAAAAGACCAAGATGGTGGCACGGTCGCACGTTTGGTGGCCTGGCTTGGACCAGGACATCGTGCACCAGGTGCAAGGCTGCCAGGTCTGCCAGGAGACCCAGCGAGCCTCGCACCAGGTGGAGATCACCCCCTGGCCGTTCCCACAGAAGCCGTGGTCCCGCTTGCACGTGGACTATGCGGGACCTTTCAAGGGCCACTACTTCCTGGTGGTAGTGGATGCCTTCTCGAAGTGGTTGGAGGCACTGCCAGTCACCAGTCCATCGGCAAGCGCGACCATTGCGGCTCTGCAGCAGGTCTTCGCGGCGCAGGGATTGCCGGACATTATTGTGTCCGACAATGGTCCCGCTTTCGCTAGCGCCGAGTACCTGGACTGGCTGCAGAGGAATGGGATCCGCCGGATGCTGCTTTCGCCGTACCATCCTGCTTCCAATGGTGCAGCCGAGCGAGTGGTCCAGACCATCAAGGACAAGCTCAAGAAGAGCCAGCCCAGGGATTTCCGAACGCAGGTGGCCCGGGTACTGTTCCAGTACCGGACCACACCCCACGAGGTCACTGGCCGTGCCCCCTGCGAGCTTCTGCTGGGCCGGATGGTCAAGATACCGTTGGACGTCTTGCATCCAGGCCTCCGGTCCACGGCACTCCTGAAGCAGCTGAAGCAGAAGCTGGCTGCTGACCAAGGGTGCCGTCCCGGGCCTTTGCCGGAGCCGGGAGCGTCGGTCTACGCCAGGAACTTTCGTCCTGGTCCTCCCTGGTCTGCCGGACATGTGGTTTCACCAGCGAGTGCCTCGTCGCTGGTCGTCCGCATGACCGACGGGACCACCTGGCACCGGCACGCCGACCATGTCAGGCCTCGCTCCGGGACCTGGCTTGCACCCTCGGCCGTCGCTTCAGAGGAACAGCCCACAGGGGGACCAACGACAGCACCAGTTGCGGCCAGTGGAGCGCCACCCACCACGGAGGCAACAAGAGTCTCCAGTCCTGCGGCACCAGTTGGACCGGTGCCACTCTCAAATCCGGTCCCTGCGTCTCCACCGGGTGGAGTGCGACCGGGACAGGCAGCGCCCGGCGTTGCCACACCTGGCCCATCGACTCCAGTGCCCAGGCGGAGTACGCGGCAGCGCAGGCCACCTGATTGCTACTCGCCGGGGGGATCTTCGCCATCGACCGGCCAGGACTTGGCACGACCAGACGCCGAGTTGGTGTCGGCCGTGTGCGTTGTTATTTCATTTATTTTGTTTGTAAGGAAACAAACTGGGGGGGGGGGGGGGGGGGAATGTGACAAGTATGTAGCGCCCCCCTCCAGTCCGCCCGTCTGTGGCCGCCAGGCTCGGCGGGAAACATTGATCACCGCGCCCCAAAACGCCGTTGAGCGCACGCCGCTCCGGCCAGTCATCGTTTACCCTCACAACCAGGCTGCGTGTCGTCTCATCTCGGCGGGTGCTTCGGCCCCCTTCGTCCACGTTCTAGAAGGATCGTGACAAACCCGCGTTGTCTTGTGTATATGCAAGCGCAGGTCGCGGACAAAGATGCGGGAATCCACTACAAACTGGCGTGTCACAGGAACGGATACCTCAGATCGCGGACGTAGCAGTTTCATATTTCACAATGCAACGTACATGTGGCGAATCGCGTGCTACAGGAGCTGATATCGCGCACGCATATGGCAGACAAAAACGCGGGAACCCGTTAAAAACTCGCTTGTCAGACGTACCGGTACTGCAAATCACACGATTGATGAGATTCCTGTCGGACATCCCGTGAGAGTGGGGAGGTGGACGATGTTCCGGAATTTTTGTTTTACGGATATTTAGCCAGAAAAACAGGATGGTCTATGTCTTGAGGAATCGCCCCGATGTCCTTACAAGATTTTATGGTAGAGTTGTAGGTTCCCTGCATTTCGATCACTTTGAAAGGACGGGGCGTTGTGCAGACATCAATGGTCCCGACAGGACCATAATGCTGAGAATGCTTCAATATGCATGAAGGAACAGGAAAACGGTACCCTCAATGCCTGTATCTAGTATCAAACTAGTTGTATTTTGCACAAAAACACCGGCATCATGTATTGTTTAGAAATAAATAGGGCTGAAGAGCACTCACGCAACTTCAACTCGTCGCGGTAATGTGAACATCAGTAACATTTTGCCAGCTTTTTATCTTGATGTTCTCTCAAGAACATCGATGCCAGCGCTTACAATTTTATGCCCTCTGCTTCAGTGTTTACCCACAGAGCTTCATTCAGAAAGGTGTACAGAGAGGTTCAATCGCATCCGAGCCGACTGCAAGGAGCCTTACCTGCGGCAGTCCCCGCTTCTTCGCCTTCATGGACACCTTCGCAGGGTCCGCATTGAGCATGCGCCCATACTCCTCACAATGCTCCTTGTCCTCTGCCCATGCATAGCCTGTAACCCCAGAAACAAGTCCCCGTTAGCAACACCCACGTGCATGCAGTAACTACAAAGTGAGAGGAGTGTATCGTATTTTCCGGACTATAGTGCCCAACAGATAGATGTATAGCTTGCAGGGGTAAATTTCGATTGAAAGCAAATTGTTTTTCCTTAGATAGTCTGCACCCCACGCCTAGCACGCTGGTAAAAACGATTGTACACATCACGCCTCAACAATGACTGCTTTAGTAGCTCACAAAGCTTGTATTGTGCACAAATCACTATTAACAATACGCGTCATTCACAAAATTTATCATGTTTCATCATCTAAGATCGGAAGTTTTAGGGGTCTTACCAAGAGAAAAATTTAGAAAAAAACTGTACTTTCAGACATTGTTTTTCTTGATCAGTAAACCCCAAGCTACATTTTTCCCAATTATTACACCAGGGAAGTTAATATATATATGTAGTTACATGATTTCTGAGTCACATATCCTACTGTTTGCACGTGAAAACCCCCCAAAAAAAAAAAAAAAACTTTCTTGGAAAAAACAAATCCTTGCAGTCCTCACTGCCTTAAATTGGAAGTTTTAAAGGGCAACTCTGGCCAAAACTCAAAATGAAATAAATTACTGGTATCGTTGTAGTGACACAAAATATGACCCCAGTCAAAACATTACGTCCGCGGGACGCCGCATTCTCAACTAATGCCGATAATAAAAATGTGTTCCGCCGCGACCCGCTGCTCCTTAGCGGGCGGCCAGCGGGTTGCCGATCGCTAACGCAACATTGGGCCGTGACGTCAGTATCGTTCTCTTTTTTTTTCCTCCGGACCGGGTCTTGCGCAGAGTGCGCTTCTTTGAGCCGCTTGCACCACTACTTCGGCTTGTGATGGGCGTGTTTAGCCGTTGCTTTTATCTGCAGCCCGTGTAGCTTCAGTATAGTCTTTTGTTTATTTGCTTGCAAGAACTCCAAGACTCGTTTTAGCGAGCAACTCGGTGCGCCCAAGACTGCCCAGCTGTTCCTCGAAAGATGCCGAGTGCAACTTGTAGCGCTGAGGGCTGCTCAACATGGAGGTGCTTTTTCCCAAGTTTCCACCGCAAAGGAAGTTGGAGAAGGTGTGGGTGAACGCTGTTCGACGAGTGGACTTTGGACTTCGGCTTTAACGCGCCCGAGGAAAAAGGAACGAAAAAACAGACGTGAACAGCCCAGCACACGTGTTCGGGCGCCGCGGCCCGCGCCGGAGAGCCTCAAAGCTTTGTGTGTGGGACCGACCCGCACCACGAAAGCAAGAGGGCTCCCAGTACTGTACGTCACTGGCAGCGCAGCGTAGAGCAACGCCGCTCCATCCACAGAGCCCCGATGACAATTTAGGCCTAGCAATGAGTACATAAGATCACACACACGGCGACAGCCGCCGAGTACGGCACCGAACGAGTTCACTCGTTTTCCAGTGGCGTTTCAGCTGCTAGATATGTTCGCTGTCTTGAATAAGTTGCGCAACCATGGCTGGCGGTCATCAAAAGGTGAGAACTGCTCACAAGTTTTCTAAAAACGGCGAAAAAGACAACTCATAATTGATAAAGTGCCGTCCGGAACTTCAAAGCAAGCAACGTCCGGCTCTGCCAGTGCGCCAAACTGCACTGCGCCAAGCTGCACCGCTCCCAAGAGGGCGGCCGCGCGTCTGACCTCCTTCCTGGCCGAAAGCTAAACAACACGCGTGAACCAGATTCGGATCTCCAAAGCTGAGCAGGCGGAGATAGCGCATCACGCAACCGAAGCACGAAAAAAGCCGTCGTCCACGTCGGCTACACATCGGAGGTCTCCTCTCCTCAATGAAAAAGCAGGTCTGCCGGAGGTTGGCACTGCGTTTACTGTTGTAAGCCTAACGGCTGTGAATGCGCTTCTCAAGTGCAAAGTTTACGATGGTACTGTAAACATCTCAAAAGGAGACTGGGAGTATGGGATTGCAGTGAATCTGATTCTAAGCCGTGCTAAGTGCGGTGAACTGAAATCAGAGTGGAGTTCTCAGAGGGGGAAGGAAAATGCAACATGCAACCACTTTGAGATAAACATACTCGCATTGAGTGCTCTTGCAAGTACCGGAAACGGATAAACAGTGCTGAACAATCTTTTCTTTGCAATAAACATTTCAAAAGGAGGTCTGCACAAGAAGACATTCCAAACATGTCTAAAGGAGATCAATTCAGCAGCTTAGAAGGCAGCTGGAACTGCGATGAGCAAGTGCACGGGAGCAGTAAAAACACTCTACTGAGACCTAACTTCGGAAATCCTGGAAACGTTGCTGTTCCGTTCGCAAGGGGTCACTCGGTGCACACAAACATTGGAAGTGTTATTGAACTGTTCTTGGACTACGTGTTTCGCTTTGTTGTCCCGTTTAATTTCTGCCTGGGCTGCGATATTGGACCAAAGGAAAGTGATCCTGCATACCAAGAATGGAAGAACACTCACATCTGCCAGAGACTCAAGCAAGCCAGGGCAAATGGAGGTTGAAGCTGTAACTATCCTCTTTGAGCGTTCGCTTGCGAAGAATAAATTATGTTACATGACAATGTTGTGTGAAGGTGACAGTCGGTCGTACAATGCACTTCAGAATGTGGAAGCAGAAAAAGAGGACTGTGTCAGTCACATCCACAATAGAATGGGCACTGCAATTTGTAACCTTGTGCAGAAGCAGAAGAGTGGAGGCAAGCCAAGTCTTGGTGGCAAAGGGAAACTTGCAGTTGATCTGTAACTAAGCTCACAATGTATTATGAAGGGGCTTTGAAGTCGCATGAGGTTAACATTGAAAAAATGTGAAAAGTGGTGATGGCATCATATTATCGCATCACATCGACTGATGCAAAGCCCAACCATGCACTTTGCACCACAGAGGAGACCTCCGTTCAGCGGGGAATGTGCAATTGCGCGAACTGTGCTCAAATTCAACTGCGGCAAACAGCGTGCCACCACCGCAATCCTGAGGGAGCTCCATCTACACCAAGACACAGCAGTACTCAGAGGTCAAGTGAGAAAGATCACCAGCGACTGACTGCTTTCAACAGGAAACCTGCCCATGAACAAACCTTCACACAAGCTATGAAAAGAAAGTGTGGGCAAGAGAATGACCAGGATTACATTCCTGGGAGTTTTTTAGGCACTGTCCCATGCCTGCCAAGTTCGGAGAAAATTTGGAAGATGTTCTAGGACTGAGGAGGGGGGGAGTTTAATAAAAGAAATAATGACAATGAATTCAATGAACTGAAACAAAGATTACGTCATTACATTTGTATGGCACTGCTCACGCTAGTGAGATACAGCTGGGTCTCGCCATCATTAAAGGGCAACTCCGCTTCATGTTTGGTTTTGAAAAAACAATGCAGTCCTCTTCAGTATCGCCTAAAAAGACCATACGGGAAATCTTACGACGCAGTTCTGTCTAAATGTTTCTTAAACGGTCCGGCAAACTTTGCAACTCGCCAAGTTGCCGAAATCGGCTGACTTGAGCGGGCGAATTCAGGTGCAACCCACAGCGCAGTCAAGGCTACGGCATGGGCGGAGCCAACATTGAGCTAAACGCCATCTACATGGCTCCCTTTTGCTTGTTTTCACTTCTCCGGGCGAGCGTAGCGCATGACGTCAGCAACGTTGCCTCTCGGCGCCCAGCAGTGTCCACGTGATTGGCGTAACGCGCCTGCGCAGCGCGTTTCTTGGGAGCCGTCCGGCCGCCCGCCGTGGTCCCGCCGTTACTGCCATCTTCCGCGTCACAACCGCCGTCGTCGTCTCACCGATTGTGATTATTGTCTCTCGGAGTTTCGTCCACACTACGGACACCACAGGCGCACACTTATGCCGCAGTTGTGCAGACGTCGTCAAATGCCATAGACACCAAAACGTGGCGAAGAGTGCGGTGCAGACGACACTCGCGCCTGCCACACGCCCGCCCCAATCCCGCCTGTCGTTGGGCCGAGGATCACGTGACATCTCGTATCACGTGATGGCCATGTACTTGGCGACCCGAGGCCAATGTTGCCGGACGGAGCCGAAGTTTCGATTTCCGCTCATGTTTAAAATCAGATTTAAAAATATATATCCCATTTTTCACGAAGCAAACGACGTAGTGTGTTTTACTAGGGCTTTTTAATTCGAAATCAATCATTATCCTGAAATCTTCGGAATTGAGCGGAGTTGCCCTTTAAGTGTGGGGAAAAGGGGGGGGGGGGGAGGGGGGGGGGGGGTATTTTGCATTTTCTGGGAGGTTTTTCTGTCTATCATGCAACTGTATGAAATGGTCGAAATACGGGAGTCTCCCGGGTAATACGGGAGGGGTATGCTCTCCTGTACATCCTTCGTACATATTTTGCTTTAAAAAAGAAACAGAAAAAACAGCACGCATTGTTTGAAACCTTTTTCCTTGTTTTCATAGAATTCATTTTTTCATCACAACACAGTTTTGTTTATGGTATCTTGGGATCTAGAACGTGGATCTGAATAATTCATTTTAGGTTTGACAGCTCAGAAATCGGAAAGTGCAACAATACACAAACTTCCGAGAAACCTGTACCATAACTTTTTATTTTTATTTTTAATACATGTAACGATTCATTTCTATTTGTCAGTGAAAAGATTTCATTGTGTCATAACTTCCTGTCAGACAGTGCTAAAACTTTTAAAAATTATTTTGTTGCACTTTTTACTGTTTGCACAATGTAAAGACATATTTTGTGCCATATCTTTTTATAGGGCTATTACAGAAAAGTTGAGCTAAATAATCTGCCATAAATCTAAGATTTCCTCTCAAAGTATAGGAGATAGGCTAATAAAACCCGGTAGATTTGTGTTCAGCAGTCAAAGTTACACTAGGCGCAGGAATTTCCTCCAAATCTGATCAGAATTGACCGAGGATCTTTGAAGTACAGGGTAACCCCTCGTACATGTACAGCCCACGGGCTATACGCTGGGAAATAGGGTATCATAAAACTATTGTGTCAAAGAAGAGAGGATGTTGGAAGCAACGTGTCAGGACACCATACAGCATTCCGACTTGACCACTGCCAGAGTATCACACTCCATAGCATCTGCCTGGACTAGAGAAGCAAATCAAAAATTCTAATGGATTGAACAAATAAGCCAGCTCACCTTCCCTGAGAGACCAGTCCATGCCCATCTCGAGCGCCTCCTCGAGATCCCTGTGGCAAGAGACATCAAGGGTTACAAACTGCAAAGACTGAGTAGTAGCAAACTCGAGAAAGGACGTCACTGCCGTCATAACAAGGTACTCAGCACATGTTGGCTCTGAATTACGTCCAAGCCCTTTTGGTGTTTGAATCATTCGGCGAACGAGATATAGAGAGAGAGGGGTCAAGGAAGCACAAGACAAACTTGTGAGGCAGACTGGCTCGCGCGCCAACCGTCTGCTAACGAAGGCCTCCTAAGGCCACACGCTCAGTGACTGGCTGCCTCACAAGCTTGTCCCCTTCCCTATCTAGAAACGGCAAGAGCGACTCACCTGGCGTTCATGGGGATGATGCCCTTGGAGCCCACGCCCACTGGGATGTGGTCAAACATACTCTGGGCCAGTTGCTCCTTGATGGGCAGCACGTCCTTCTCCATCAGGTTGGTGCGCAGCAGGCGCACCCCGCAGTTGATGTCAAACCCCACCCCTCCTGCAGGACACGGGACAGGGCAAGGGGGCCCTCAATTCACGCTGCTTAGAGCAGTAGTTCTCAAACACTTTGATCTCTGGGAACCCCTCTTGGTCTCAGCATGGGTGCTATAGACCCTTTTTCTGTTTTCAAGCACAAGCAGCCTCTGGCTACCGAAGAGGTTTCCGGTCGCTCTGTTTGGGCGGACCATCTGAGCATGTTGATGTTGACTTTTCTGGGACAACGAAGCTCTACAGAAATCGCGAAGCTGGGAATTTGGCGACGTCCCTCTGCCGTGCCATTCAACGCACAGGAGAGGGTCGGTCGTCTTACCCAACCACAAACCCGTTTCACGCCGTAAATATAGCTCTAAAAAATGTATTTCTTTGTTGTAAGTTTGTTTTATGACATTCTGTTTCCATCTACTCTGTTTAAAAAAAAAAAGTGTTTCCCTTTGCATGTTTCGAATAAATGCTTCACATCCTGCCTATAAACGAAATTTTCAGTTTTTTTTAAACAACCGTTCATAAGGCGCGACACAGGCCGGGAAACAAGGCAATGACTCTTCAAGAATAACTTTTGCACATACACCGTGCCAGCAGCACTACACTTCCAGCATCCCATAGACCGACAGAGGGCAAAAGGCAGGCGGCCAAACGGCGGTGTACCTGCGTCACCCAAGTAGAGTCCTGCGTACCGGGAGAGACTATGGCCTTGGGGTCGTCCATGTCGAAAGCGGCCATGTTGCCGATGGCAAAGCCGTAGCCGGAGTGGATGTCGGGAAGGCCTATGGAGTGCTGCGCCACAGGAAAGGGAGAGATCCTGGGCATCAGCTGACCTGCCGCCTATCTTAAGGCTCGTTCACTTGCTAGCGTTACTAGATCGACCCCGTCACAACCGCCCACGATTGCTTACGACGAAAGAAAACATTTGCTCCACCTGTTGGCTGGCTTTGCCACACTTCTGGTCTGCGCACATTTGATGTGTCGCTCTCACCATGGGCTTCAAACAATCCGAACCACGTTAGAAGCAACCATTTCTCATAGACATTATGTTTATTTGATCTTGCAAATAGTGCAAAACTCTGTCTAGTTATGCACAGAGCAGTTGTGTTATAGCGCTACCTGATGGATAGCACCATTGTGGTCTCTCGTCGCAAGAGCCTAAACTACACTCGGCATCTGTCTCTTTGAATATGAGCTAGAAGACGCCAAAGATATTTCTAAAATTTCTAGATGCTGTAAACGACGCAACTTTCACAGGCTCAAGTTTTCGAGCTAAAATTTGTAGATACTGTAAACGACGTAATTTTCGCGGGCTCAAATTTTTGCGAATCGGGCCAAAGCTGAAATTTTGAAATTATTTGCGGGTCCTAATTGTCGCGAATCGAGTGTAGCTTCCGTAGCATTCACGTATTGCCCGAATTGTTCGCGGGACATATTTTTCGCGAATTGTACGCGATTTGCAAAAATTAGGTCCTCGCGAAAATTTAGTCGTTTACAGTATTGTAAGGAGATAATTACATCCTTGAAAGTAAAAAAAAAAAACAGGCGCTTATATATTAACGTGCAACACCGACGTTGTGCCACTGCAGCAACACTGTCGTCGTCGTGGCGCATGCGCAAATGCTTTGCCTTGCGCGATTCTGGATTTTGAGTAGCGTGTTGGTGCATAGCAGCATTAATCGCCGTCTAACTTTTGTTCCAGAATTTTCAGAAAAATATTTCACAAAACAGAAACCAGCAGCAACCTTCCTCTACGTCTGTAGCAGCTCAAGAGCAGAACCAAGCTAGACCCCCAAAGTCCTTTGCTCTTTTCACTTTAGCAGAGGGAACGTCAGAAAAAAAAAGCAAGGACAGAAAAAAAAATTACGGTGAGCAAAAAGTTTTGTGCAAGAAGCTTCTCTTCCTCTTTTTACGTCTTAACGACTATACTACACATTAAAACTATCAAATACGACCTCTGGGACCACCACCAGAGCATTCAAATTCAACTTGTGCACAGCCCTGGAACTCACACCGACAATGCCGGGAAGGGCGGCCACATTGCCGATCTGCTTGACCCCTGGTAGGAACCCGCCCACCATGCCAGGACGGCAGGCGTTACGGAGCTCCTCAAACATCAGCTTCTCCAGCAGGCTATTCACGTAGAAGACCCCCTCCACCTGCACAGGGGACAACACCACTCAAGCCTCCGTCTGTCCAAGGAGCTAGCTTATGAAGAACGAAAATCTTCTACACAAGTTATGCTCCCGTCTAACGATACCTGAGCTGTGGATGGACGGATGGTATAGTCATTGACAGGGTGAGAACAACACGGAGGAACTTCTGTTGTCCTGCCTCCAGCGCAAGCTATCTACCTTTGACGACGTTTCAACACCACCTGCAGCTCGAGCACGCACGCTCAGCCAAAGCACAGAGCGCGTGCTGGAGCCCGTGTGTTCAGAAGAAGCGCCCTGCCATTCTGGTACATCAGTGACATGGTGTTCATACATTCTGTATTGGGAGTAGCCTGTCCGAAGCAGCCTAGGGGGGGTATTCACTGGATGATATATTTGAGGGCAATGTTTAGAGCACATGCACAGAACGAGCTCACATTAGTAGGCTGCTAAGACCGGCAATCTACAGGGTGATTCAAGAAGCCAGGCTCTTAAAATCAACCATAAAATTCAGTCTTTTAACCTATCGCGCTACGACACAGATGGTGCATTTTTTTTTTGTAAAATTTGCAAAGAGCGAACTTACTTGAGGAAAAAGTAAAGAAAGAAAAAGGCTTAGCTCCTATGGAAACGCAGAGGCGCCATCGGTCTTCAAACAACACGGCGCCGAATCGCAAAGGGAGACAAGAGATGGCGCAACGAACGAGCATACGGTGCCGAGAGCCGGCGTATTTAGATCTTTTCGACTCAAAAGCGGCGCGCATTCCGCAGGCGGCGACAGTCGCAGAAATAAAAACAGACGCGGTAACAACAAGGAACTGCAGTTCCTTGTCTGCTAAAGACGCCGGCTCTCGGCGTCGTATGCTCGTTCGTTGGCGGCAGTTGGCGTTGCGACTGCTTGCGCCATCTCTTGTCTCCCGTGTAAATTGCCATGTTGTTTGAAGACGTGGCTTCACTGAGTTTCCATAGGAGCTAAGCCTTTTTCTTTCTTCACTTTTTGCTCGGGTAAGTTTGGCTCTTTGCAAATTTTACAAAAATAAATGCACCATATGTGGGCAACGCTGCACGAAGTCGCAGCGCGATAGGTTAAGAAACTGAATTTTGCGGTCGATTTAAAGAGCCTGGCGTCTCCTTGAATCACCCTGTAGATGATGCGAAAGGCATGTTGAAGAAAAACTGTGGAAGCTCGCTGTGAGCACGCGCTCAGCAAACGCACACACAGCAATGGCCGCCAGTATACACTGATGGTCTTAGCAGCCTGTAACATGCCTGTTGTGCCCATTCCGAGCATGGGCAGGGAACAGCACACTCAGTGAATACACCCTACTCCACTCCCCCTTAATTCCCCTAAATTCCAATCCTATTAATCCGTCAAACGATCAATTTCTTTGTCATTTTTTATGCGTTAAGCAAACACGCCTCAGTGAATCACGCACTAGCCTTTAGCGGCTTCCGAATTTAACTACGCGCCTAGTAAATAATAAAAAAAAGAAACGCAATCCACGAAACGAATTTCCGCTAAACGTGTCCATGAAAAGTTGTCAACGAAACGATACGGACCCGTGTACCCCACAGTTCAACGTATATGTTGAAAGAAGCTCTGCCACGGTTGGTTCTCAAAAACACTGTTCACAGACTGCAGCGAAGCGTGAACGCCAACAACCGCTCAGCAAACCCGCAGTGGTGTGGCCGCGTGGGTAGCTTACATTACGTTAGATTACGTCAACCTCAGTACCCACCTTCATGTTCGGCACAAAGCCCTTCTTGATCCTCCAGGAGACGGGAGTCAGTTTTTCCAAATAGCTGAGTTCCTCGTTGTAGCTCCGCACCCCCATGATTGACTACCTTCGCCGGGAAGAAAGGAAACGTTCAGATTTGCCAAAGTCAACACGTGGACGCCGGTACGTGTAGGCCTACGTCGACGTGCAAGATTTCAGTAATAGCGGGTAACCCACCGATGAGACCAGGCGCGACAGGCAAATTTGGAGACTAGAGAAATGTCTGAATGCGGCTGTTCATTGGCGTTTATCCAAGTACCGTGATTAAATCGATTAAATCCTCATCCCTGATTCACCGCACGCCCCGCGCCCCGCAGCCTCGAAAGAAAAGAGAGAGGAAATAGATAAAAAACCGTCACGACACTGGATCCCAAAACATTAGAGGCTGTCTTGAAGTGGCTATAGACCAGTGTCCGCGCCAATTCTGGGGCGCCGCCATGTTTATCTACGCTCGCGCCACCACGCGGAAAGAACTGGCAGGCGGGGAGGGGGGGCTGCGTTGGCGGCGTTGCTTTGGGTAGCTGGATGCGGCAGGCTGTCCGAATGCACCGACACATCGTGAAAGATATCTTCACCAGAAGCCTCTGCGGCCCGTTCTTCAACAGGCAAGATGTCGTGAACATTCGAGAACCCATCTCGATCAAGGAAAATAAGGGAAAACCCTTCTTGTCTTAGATGTTCTCGGTGTCTGCTGACCCTTGACATCCGCGTTTCAGTCCGGGTTCATTGCGTAGTAAATATTTCGCTACCGCTTTCTTGTAGCTTTCAAATGCTTGATTGTTGGCTTCTTGTATACGACATTACATTCGTGGCACGTTTGAGACCGATTTTCGCGATCTGCTTGCCTTTCTGCGGCAGCGCGGCTCTGCCAAGCCGAAATAAGTGCGAGGCGTTCACTTGATCGAACGCAGCTTTAGCGAATGAAAACGAGACGACGACGTTTCATCGAATGACTAGCGAATGGGTCTAGTTACATAGACAGCTCGGATTAGCTTTCTTTTGTAATGTGGCGCCTTGTCTGCCGCTGCGAAGCGGCGTAAACGAGGGCTCCGAGTATGTTAGCACGCGTCCCCGTCGGTAAAGATGTCGCTGGTCTGCCGCTGGCGTGGCCTAAGAAGAGGGGAGGAGCCTGGGAAAGGGGAGGGGGAGGGGCTATTGCGGAGCGCCAATGGCGAGGTGCGCGGAGGGGCGCGCGCCGGGAAGCAGGCACGGGCGCTGCGGGCTCCTATTTCAGTTGCTTCGTCGGAGTACAGATGGCGCTACGAGCGCGCTGTCGCGTGGAGTGGGGAAGACAGGGCAGACGGGCGCACCAAGGACGCGGACACCTCTTTGAGTTGCTTCGTCAGAGTACAGACGGCGCTACGAGCGGCGCAGTGCGCTCGTGACGGTTGTGCGCCTTCGCGCTACGCGGTGAAATCGTGAAATGGGCGCACGGTCGCACTAGCGACGCTGGCGTGCTGTCGTGACGGCTCTTGCGCCGCGCCGCCGTGTTTCGCTTGCTTTTGACGGCTCTGCTGGCTCTGCGCTCGGTCGCGCGTCATCGCTCTCTGGGCGCGCTTATGGCGCTGGTCACTTGATGAACTCGCGCTCACTTTTCTGCGCGCTTTTAAACTGCAGATGACGGGGCTCTGTAGCGCTTTTGAGTGTACACATTTGCAAAGTGATGGCAGTGAGGTCTTGTGAAAGTAATTTGGAATACGTAAATCAATCCCTGATTGATAGACAGTTTGACGTCTATTTTTAGGTTATTGGTTGTCGTATCAGTACTGCTTTTCTCCTAGCAGTCTGCTAGCTGAAAGGCTCAAGACAAACAAAGACAACGCACTGGGTACTTGACCTCTCACTAAAGGAGATGAAAGCGAGGAACAGAAATAACTCTCGAGCGGTAATAAAATTGTTATTTTTGCATGAAAAAGCAATGCTTGTAAATTGCGAAGGGAAATGAATTTCCTGATCAGATATTCCTGCTTTCTTTTCACAAATTTCTTTTTCTTTTCGTACGTTTGTTAGTTTGTGCACGGGATTGTGACCCAAAATTGGAGCGAGCAAGCCAAAAGGCACGACGGCGCAAAGCAGCAGGGACTGGGTTAAAGAATTTTACATATATCCAATTTTTTGGACTGCACAATTAGTTCACATCTCTCACCCACCATCAAACAACTTCTCACTCAGTGTATCAATAACATGAAGAAAAAATAATACAGTAGAAATATTTCCACTTCTGTAGGTGATCAACCCAGTATAAAAGGCTCTGGATCAACCAATCGAGCGAGCACGGAAATAGAAACCGGAGCAGCTATCATCCAAGCATTTCAAACTTCGCAGTGTAGCAACTGCTGCCAGGCGAAAACAATAAAAATAAAGGAACAGCTGCACTGCGGGAAAAACTGGCTCCCACGCCACAATGCCAGATTGGAATTTTTTTTTTTTTTTTTCGCGGTGGTGCTTAGATACGTGTTCCCCACCAATACAAGCCTCGTCATCGTCCGTTCATTAGACCTAAGTTATAGAATTTATTGAGGTTTTTTGTGTCTTGTTTTTGTTCCCGAAATACCTGTCAACGTGCTCTTTGCATTACTTGACTGCGCGCTGTGTAGGGGCGTCGCGGTGTCACAAAGTCCCTAGATAAGAGCTTCCTACTAGTTGCGACATTTCTTGAGGCGCCGACTGCGTGGCGGTGCAGTTTTAAGGAAGCGAATGGCGGCGCACAGCAGAAGACTGAACGGAATGGCGCCATTTTGTTCCAGTGGAATCTGCTTCGTCATTTGTATACATGCCTTGAACCTACGTCACATGACGACATTGAACACCGGTAACACCCATGGTGGTGGTTGAGTCGATGGTGATTCGCGGCAAGAGCCTTGGTAAACTGCGCCGCGCTCGGTTGTAGCAATTGCTAAGTGCCCCGCCCAGCGTTTCGTCGGCATGCCCCGCGACAGAGTAATCATCAAGTTAGAAAAAGTACGAGCAGCAGGAAAGGAATGCGGGCGCGCATTACTGAGTTTGCGGACGGATTTCATAGCGGCGAGCGACCGCACTTTTCTACCGTTGTTTACGTTGGTGCATACCTTTGCATCTGCTTTCTCCGTTCGTGTGGATACCCTTGGCCTTTCGTTTCATCACGCCGTTTCCACGCTTCAAGCGCACATTTGGGCTGTTTGCCCGGCCAGACGGCGATCGGTCAGCGGCGCCGCCGTGTGCACGCTCACAGAGACGCCGCCGCCGGGGCATCGGCTTGTGCCGTCTGCGACACGATTGCCTTTGCAAGGAGCGAAAGTGTGCACGTGAGCTGCTTAGGAAATATAATTTAAACCTTGATACAAGGAGAGTCGTCTTGTTCAGTATTTTTTTTTCTCCTTTTTTCAGGGTTTAGATTATGACGGTAACCTTACTTTGCTTACCAGTACTTCGCAAGATCGTAAATGTTTTACTACAAGCAGTTCCTTGAGCCGTCCGTCACAATTAAAAGCGCGCAATGAAAAAAAAAAAATTTTTTTTTTTTTGCCGACAGGATGGTTTTTTTTGCGTCAAAACTTCGTTGGCGACATATGGAAACTTTTTGCTCATAGCGCAATCGCACCCACGCTAGCAGCCGCCTGCCGCTCCTTTTATAACGTCACATTTCTCCATATCGCTAGCAGGGAATCCCGATGGACAATGCCCCGACCAAAGCGATAGGGCCATTGTCTCAACGTACAGCTATGCCTTTCCTTCTCCCTCAAACACCGCCATTCGCGTTAACCACACCCGCGCCGAGGGGCCAGACGTCCTTCGTCGCTGTGTCGCCATCGAAGTCCGGACGGAGGAAGAGGATAATCCATGCGGTAAGGGATAATCCCACAAACGCACCAGAAGCTAGGAGAAGGCGGAATCTCTCCAAGGCTGTCGGGACGAACTTCGTCGGTCAACTCAATAATCCTTCGTTGGAGGCCACGTTGGCGACCCCAAGGCGCCTCTCGCTTTGCTTCCGGGCACAGCTGACCGGAGCCATCCGCTTATTTGTGTACTCTTGTCCCCGGCCACTTAATAAACGTATCCGGTGTGGGCGACGAAAAAATAATAAAACGCTTCAACCTGTAAATAGTAAAAAAAATAAATAAATAAAAAAAAATAGAGGGGCGGCAAAACGAGAATGTGTGACTGCTACCACTTATATCCTAAATATATTATATTGGCGTGGCGACGGCAAAACAACGTTTTCGCCGATACTGGGGCGCCCTTGTGAAAAGTGTCTATACTCCATTTCACTAAAACCGTGCAGTACAGCCAAAGTTACAGGGGAGAGAGCATGTGCTAACCTGTTTACGAGGAGGGAACGGGGGAACGGGATTCCCTCTTCCCCCTTTCCCTCCTCTTGAACAGCTCAGGGGTACACTCGCTCCTGTAGCTTTGGCTGTACTGCACAGTTTTAGTGAGATGGGGTATAGTCACGCGATAACGCAGTGCATGCGCACTTAATAATACTAGTAATAATACTATTAATAATATAATAATTATACATTTTTATTCATAGTAATAAACAAATACAAATACAGGTCTGCGTGAGCCAAGGGAGGCTTATGTTGCATGACCTTGCGGTACAGCCCATTCCTTGCAGAAATAGCAGGTAGCAGCATAACTCACTAAATATCAACTGTAGATTTATCACTTGGGAATATCATGTAATAAATTTTTTCAGACTCTTTTTGAACCCATGGTTAGAATAAGTTATCTGGTAGCTCATTAAAAATCTTCGGCACGTAAAATTACCTAATGCTTTCCCCATAATGAGTATAGATACGAGGAATTTCAAAGCCGAGTAGTGTTCTAAATATACGTGGGGCCAAACTCTCAGTTTTAAAATCACTGCATCAAAAGTGACAAAAAACAACCGCCTGAATAAATAACGAATAGAAACAAGGCAATTTGAGTAAACTAAATAAGTTATCACCTGAGGTGTTGAAGTAACACTTTTCAACATCCCCCTCAGAATGCTATCAATTCTGACGTGCCATTGTCGAAAGCAGTTAAAAAATAGAGTGACACCATACCTAAGGACACCACACCAAAGAGTGCATGAGCATTTTTCTACTTGCAAACAGAAGGTACACCTTTAGGTTATGGAGCTAACAAGATACACTTGCGACCAACCTCCGATAGAGGCGTCCGCTTTCAAACGGCAAACGCTCCCCATAGTTTGAGTTGGACCCTCCCTACAATCTATATACAATCTAGGTAAACTCAGTTTTCCGAGGGACGTTTTTAGATTTCATTTGTTTATATGACTACTCTGGGCCCTGACTTGATGTGATATAATGATAATTAAAATGACACCGCCCCGCCAACGTGCTCGCATTTTTAA